AAAAAAAAAAAAAAAAAAAAAAAAAAAAAAAAAAAAAACAAATCCACATAAAACAGAAACCAAAGTCGTGAATCGACGAAAAGGCACCGATCCATCAGAAAAAGCGCCAAATCTTGGAGAATCGTATCGCAAGAAATCAGATCAGACGGGGCTGAGAAGTTGGGAGAGCTGAGGCTTTGGCTCAGAATTCATGCCGATGATGATGACCAGAGGAATGAAGCCATAGTGGGTGATGACCTTGGCTTTCTTCACGGCCCAAGTGGTCCATTCCTTGAAGGCTTGGGTTGTGGATTTCCCCTCAGATGACTTGGAAGAGCCCTTTGAGCTCTTTCCCTTGCTTTTAAGAGAAACATTCGAAGCCATTGCTACGAGAATTCGATCTTTGGTGAATGCTGATGATACCTTCTTGTTCTTGTTTTGTGCGCGCCTGTACTGCCTTTAAACCCTAATTACACCATACACGTGGACCGGTCTGGCTTGTACGTCATTACCGGCTATAGCCAGTTCAAGCCACATTTAATTAGTCCATTCAACATTAATACAATTATTTGTCAGTCTATATTCATTGCAAATTTATTAGGTAATCGATACTTTTTCAGTCTGAGTTCACCTTTAAAAATTAAAATATGGAAAAATATAGGTTTTTTTTTTTTATTTTTTTATTTACAATAATAGAAGCTTCTAACTTTAGTTCAAATCATAGTATAAGAACACGTGTAATTATAGAATAGATGGTAGAATGAAGAAGAAATTTTTTTTCGTTAGATAAACGATGCGTTCCCACATCAATGTTGGTAATATAATTATAGGTTTTTTTTTTTTTTTTGGTGAAAGATAATATAAAAATTTGATCTTTTTAATAATCATGTTGATAATAAAAAAAATGGTATTATATTTTTAGTTGATGAACCTTATATTAGATTTTTGTTTTCGTTCTTTAATAAAAATTATATTTTAAAATAAAAAAATTATGCATTATATTTGAAAAAACCATTGAGAAAAATTCTCCATAGAAAACCCGATCTATGCTCATTCTCCGCTTCTCAATCTTGTCCAATGAATGTCTCTAGTCAAATCTACTCTTAAAAACGTTTAAAATAACAAGAAATCTAAATTTCTCCCATGGATTGAACGGATAAAATGACTTGTACTAAACAAAATGGAAGTGTATATGATTCAACCTTAATACAATCAAAACCAAACATAACTCGACTAGTGATCTATGACTAACAAAAGTAGGACTAGAATTTGCCATAACATTTCCAATTCAGATTGGAGCCTCCACCTTGACGACATCTCCAATTTTCTGAGGAGAAAGAAGCATATTTAGGGAACCACCAAACAACATCCTCATCTCTAATCACTACTCTGTGAGGCGGTAAGATGTGAGATCCCACATTGATTGGAAAAGGAAGAAACGAGTGTCAACAAGGAAGGACGTTAGACCTCGAAGCATTTAAATTTTTGAGATCCCACATCGGTTGGAAAAGGGGAACGAAACATTTTTTATAAAGATGGGGAAACCTATTTTAAAAACTCCATGGGGAAGTTTGAAAGGGAAAATCCCAAATAGGACATTATCTACCCGTATGGGCTTGGACTTTACACAAGATTTAGCAAAGAAAGGCCAACACCCTATTTCCTAAACAGAAGAAATAACCAACAATTTACCACCAGCCATCTTATGTAAATATATAACCAATTATCACAATGAAACTCTGGCATTCCTGAGCCACATGATAATCCAAGCACCCCGTGTTCAGAAAATCGACGAAGACAAGGAAAAATGCATAACATATTTGGAAGGCATGATCTTCAACAAAAAACACTCAGCGTTCACAAAATGACATGAAATACAGTGTAATTGCATAGCATAAAGCTGAAATATTGTCCCAGAATCCAAATTGGTGGGGTTCAGTGTTCTCACATAGATAAGAAAGGTTTGATTACTCCAAGGAATTATTATTGCAGTCCCAAGTACGGTGCTCAAAAGAACTTCCTGTAAGGTCTGCCGGCATCCTCATCTTGCATATGCTGTCATCATAATGTTAGAGACCAAGTTATGTATTAGAAGAAAGATCGAAAAAGAGTGTGCGGCGACTTGAAAATTACAGACAATCAGCACTTCAATAATGAGAACGAAAACTTACATAAATGAAGAACGCAAAACAAGAACTATATGCACATTTTGAAGGAAAATAAGCGAAGATTGGAAAAACCATAGATGAACACAGTTACAAGACAGGAGTTAAGACCACCAACATTCACAAAACAGTATTGCTGCCAAATATCTCCGAAGCAAAACATGTTATAGAAGCAATTTTTTCCCGCTAAACAGTAAAGCAAATATCATCCTGCGTGATCGTGATCCTCCAAGAACACAAAAAGAACCATATTGTAAGATCCCCAAGAAATCTGACGCACTGTGATTAAAAATAGATGATAACAGTAAAATCTTAATTTTTGTTGTATTTCCTCTACACATCTCAACAAAAAAATATATGAACAACATTGTTTTAGTACATCAAATGTGGGGATGGAGTCAGGATTGAAACCTAGAACAAAGGGAACATGAAATTTCGAACTCTATGAACAAAGGAATGACATCAAAGGAAATAGACAATCGGAAAATCATGAATTCACTTATTGACTTTTAAACAACCAAGCTGAAAGGAAATCCTAAGTCGCAAAATCGGAAGAAATGGAAACCCTAGGAAAGAACAATGATGTAGGTGGGCGTCAACAGATCAAAAAGGTATCAAAAAATAAATTGAACCACATACCAAAGCAAGAAAAAGGAACATAAAAGAGAAAAGAAAGAAACGATCTTACGAATTCCCTGACGATCCCCTTGTAAACGAGGAGGGGGATGGCGATGCCGAAGATACCCACAAGAGCAAAGTTACGGCGAGTCCAACGGAAGTTATGCTCAAGATTTTCTCTAGCAGAACCCCAATCCTCGATAAATCTGTTCTTCTGAGCTTCCATTCCTCCGCCCATTGTTGCTCTGTTCAAATTTCTTCCCTGCTCTCTCTTCCTTCGCTTTGCCAGTCGACAAATTTTCACCACCTCTTCGAACCGAAAACATATATATAGTATGCAGTAACATTAAGTTATTAATTTAATTTATATTATCAAATAAAAAAGTATATAATATGGTTGGCTCAATTTCTTCTTGTTACAGATCAAATAAAGAGGAGACACAATATTAAAACTTCCAAAGTTCTATTAGAAACTTATTTAATATACATTTGTACTTAAAAATCCTTTTGAATTCTTAGTTTTAGAATAAATATTTTTATGTGATTATTTCTTAAAGAAAATTCAAAAAATTTATAGATGCAATTATTTAAATAAAAAAAAAAATGTTGGCTTCACCTCGAAGATTAGAAATTCGAATCTCCTATCCCACGTGCTATCAAATTAATATTTTTTTACCATTTCTTTCCAGTTCAGTATAGAAAATAGAAAAGTTCAAACCTCGAAAACATATGCTTCCACCTAGTTAACTCATCCACACAGATATATATATATATATATATATATATATATATATATATATATATTCATGAAAATATTATGAAAAATTAGTCTATTTTTTAGTAATAGGCTGTAAATTATGTAAATTTAAGTATAATACAGAAGCCCTTTCATTAGCTTGAACACTCGCCACTGATCATAAGCAGTGAAACCTTCTGTAAGAAAAATGGAGATTTTGTTTCAAAAATAGAGTCGGCTTAAGTTTAGAGGGGATGGGAAAGTGGGAATGGCTCACATCAAATGCTTCTGACACTTTCCCTCAAAACTGATTTTGTGCAGTGAACTCCAGACTTTGGCACACCAGATATGAATCAAGCTGATGAAAGCTATTACAAGTCCATTTCTGATTGAATGCTTCGAAGAGATTACGACCAGCCATTACCCGGTGGCTTCTCATACTGTAAAATGATCTGACAAGGTATGGCAAAAAAAAACTTGATAAGAACTCAAGAGAGCACAGAATGAGATTGCAATCTTGTCTTCACTTCATCTAAGCAAGCTTCAAGATCCAAATATTCTTGGGTGTCTGAGAAGTTAACAGCCTGAAAATGAAGCACTGTAAGTTCATATCTATAGGAGTAATAGCCAATTAGCATGAGGTGTGTTTTCATGAGAAATGGCACTATGTCAATTACTTCCTGCATACATAAATGGAAAAGGTGATATATCTTAATAAACTAAATAATCTTGCCTGTTTTACTGTGTTCTTGAGGTGCATCTCGGCTGCATATAGTTCTCGCTGACTATTCGTAGTGGCTGATATATGCATGTAAACCCTGCATAGTTCCAATGACGCTTGTGCAAACTTAATGAACCTATCCTTATCTTTCCAAAGATCAGAACCCTGAAAAGGCCGAGCACGATTAGTTGATTCAAGTGATACTTTCTGAAGATATGTATTTGGAACCACCTCAACATCACAAGGACTCCTAAAGCCAATATGAAAAGTTAGAGATGGTTATATATAAGAAACGTATGCACAAATGAAGCAAGAAAGGAAGTTCATGCGCTTGCTATTACTAAGATTTCTTCTAAATTGTAGATTATCGGGTGACATCTCACACAAAGCAGACGAATTTAGAACAAGCGATGTACCTGAGATACCTCCCAAAGTAAAGAAAACAACCTAACTTGCACATATAGATACTTTGGTTCCTAACGATACATATACATGACAACACAGAACAATGGTCTTTTGACAAAGTGACGAAGATGTTAACTCGATAGCTTTCCACAAACCACAGTGAATGGTACAAAGTGTGTGGTTAATGCACAAAACAATATCACGTTGTAGAAAAAATGAGCAATACGAAAATTATCTCATTCAAGACAACCAAGGAAAAAGATGGTTACAAGAGGGGGTGTAGAAATTCCTTTTGTCCATAAGAAACAATAATTTGGAATCAACGCTTACTCCTCATAATTAGAAAAGATATATGAGATCAATTAATAAATACAGTCGGAAGTTAGTTGACGAGATAAACAGGAGTTGTAAGAATCCATCTGTTTGACATTCGCCATTGTAAACTCCAAGCTTAATCCCATACCTGATATGATCTGACTTGCTTTAGAAGGGCCTCCGAGCACATTGTGTAGTCTCCTTTAATTTTGTGCCACCTTGCATAAATCCCCCATATATCTGCTCCAGTCCCACCTCGAACAATCTTAACAAGAAGAAAGTAGAGACAAATAACAATTACATATCTTAATTGCGTGATCAATCGTAATAACAATAAAATCTCACATCAAAGTTTAACTTGCTTTTTAGTATAATTCATTCCCCTTGATGTTCTTGTTAAAAAGCATTTTAATGATTATCCTTTGCCCACTTGTCACAAACAGGGATTGGGGCAAACACCCACCTTGCATTTATTGCGAGAACCACTCCTCACATCAACTTTCTGAAGGATCTTAGGCATTTTAATGATTATCCTTTGCCAACAGTTCTTTGAACTAGAGTCATTTCCTGTAACTGTCCAGTAGGTTAGTTTTTGTTCTTTCGTCTCTTGTCTCCTATTGTAAATATGGCATTCCTTTCTGCATCGAGTTTGTTCACTCTTTCATGGAGCAACTAAAGCTAGTCATCTCAACAGGAAACTTGGTATAATGTAGTGCGACCGGTTTCAGACTTGATAGAGCGCATGAGGTGGAATACCTTTCTTTATCCTTCTATTTTGAGCTCCAATTCTAAGGTTTTTTCTTATTATCCCCCAAAGAAATATATAGACCAATCCCTAAACTAAACTTTGTGTGAAAGAACTTCAACTATCAACTGTAAAAAAGAAGTAAAGCGCTGATATAAGAACTCAGCTGTCTAACACACTTCAGTTTTTTTCATCATAAGAAATGCAGAGATAAACTCAATCAGCGGTCCTACACCTTTAGTGAAAATTGACATTTCCTCAGCCCCAAACGTCATCTCACCTAATCATAAAAATCATCTCCTTTGTGTGGCAGGTTAAAGTTTCAAAGAAGGTAAAAAATAGTGGGGTATATTTTATATGGGAGAGTCAATTCCATGGATTGTATTTAAACACTCTTCCCTTGTATTGTACCCGTAATGGTACATTACACTCTAGGCGGCTGAAGGATGACCTTGACCATATATGTAGGTTTATCAGTTTGATCAATCCCTTTGGACTCAGTAGATGAAGTCGTTTGGTTTGTGATTGGCCTCGATTAGAGATTGATTCTCAATGGAAGAGGTGCTTCTGGGTTCTTCAACCAAAGTTTTGTGGCATACCAGTCCCTTAACTTCTTTGTTGTTTTATAGAGAATTTGACTTGAGAGGAACAACATGAACTTTAGAGAGGTGAAAAGGTCATGTGAGGAGGTCTGGGAAGTTGTTAGATTTAATCTCTTTGTGAACATCAGTTACCCGGCCTATTTGTAATTATGAACTAGGTTGTCCTGTCATGTTGGATTTGAATCCTTTTTGTAGTTGGGTCTCAGAATCCATTTTTGTTGGGTTTTCAGCTTGATTTCTTACGACAAACACATATTCTCACAAATCAAATATTCCATGGGAAATGAAGCAACAATGAATTGACAATTTTAATTGTGCCAGCCACAATTACACAATCAATTACTTAATGATTCTAATTTTTCCTTACAACTAGATCACCCAGTATCCTAGTCCATCTTTTTTCGTATTCCAATACTTCCACTGACAACATAATGACTAGAATGATAATCAATCAAAATAAATAAATATTGAAGCAAAAGTAACTTGGAACTTCAGAATTAAAAAGGCAAGCTTTTTTTTTTACCTGACGAAAAACCTTTCCTATTAACTCCACCATATGATCAGTTTCCCTACTTTTATCAACCGTCAAGTCTGCTTCACAATGATAATATTCAGAGTGGCTATTTGAAGCTCTCCGTTCTACCTCCTGCATGATTCTCTCCAACAATTCGACATCAACTCTACTATTCTTTGTAATATCTATCACCTTTTGTACTGCTTCCAATGCCTTGAAAGAAAGAAAACAAAGAGCTATGAGTAATTAATGCAAATGCTTCACAATAAATGATCAAATTTTAATAAATATGCAGCGTAAATTATAAATGTGGAAGTACTGGAATATATGGGTTGATGTTTTTCAATTCTAAGAAATAGAAGAAAACACCATCCTACCAAAACATTGAACCGTAAATAAAGCAGCAAACGCAATATGTACCAGAGAAAAGTGAAGGGTCAGGTATAATCAATCATATTTTGAAATCTTGTGGGGGCTTGTTTTTTGTGGGTACTATTCTTTTTACTTTTCCACTTGCAAAAGTATTTTGATTGATCCTAAGTCCAATTTCAGAATAAGTATAGTATCACATTGGAAAGCCACAGAACAATAGGAATCCATCATTTTGGGAAGCTAGACCCAAAGGATATCTTTTTCTTTGTAAGAAACCTAAAAGCCCCAAAGGATATCAAACATATGACATCCAATAATTCAATCTAAAGCCTTCCCCATTATATCCAACCCACCTCGAGAAGCAAGTAGCTTCATATGAATACACCTAAAACAATAGGAACAACGGAGTAGACAAGCATACCTGTCCAATATTGTCCGTGTCCAAAGCAACATGGCTGTAGTTCTCCCATAATTGCCAACTATTTCGTCTGTAATGAAGTTCACATTCGGTCACTTTGAAAAAATCTTAAATAAAGACTGAGAGAGGTATGTGCATTCGGACTTTTATTGATATTAAACATCCAGAAACTTTGCAGAAAAAAATGTTTATGGATAAAAGCAGAGAGACCGAACTTGAACTTCAAGGCTTCTTTAAAAGCAATGAAGGCCTCTTTACTCCTTTTCTTGATCATATGCCTGCATCATGCGTAAAGTGCACAAGCAACTAAATACAAACAAAATTGTGAATGGGACAAAATATAGAAGATGATTGCAGAGTAAGAGTACAGTAGAACAAAAGGTCAGAAAAACGTACAAACAAGCAATATTGTTCCAAGCCTCCCCATTATCAGGATCAAGTTGAACTGCACGAGTAAAACCATCAAGTGCCTTGTCAATATCCCTTGCCTGCATTTTTCCATCAAAAAATAACTTCAAGAATTTTCCAAGACCGTTAAAATCTGAGAAAACAAAATTATGGAAGAACCTAGTTTATATGCTCTGTAATTTGCATGACAAGTTACCTTTAATGCAGCAGCACCAAGTGCAAACCAACCATCTGGATACATAGAATTCAAGGCCATTGCAGACTCCCTACAAAAGAAATATATATTTGATATAAAGAAAATTAAACACAAAACATAGGAGCCATACAATGATTGAGAATATAAGTTTCCAGCTGAGTGGCATAACTGTGACTAATAGAACTTTAGCAGTTGGAATCAGAATATAAATGGGAAAATCCAACCAAAAAAAGATAGTTTTACATGTAGAAGAACTTCTCAAGGAAAAGTACATGATACTCTAAACAAATTCCATCATTCTGTCAATGAAGAATGCAACATAAAGAAAATTAATGGACCAGATGTACTAAAAAAAAACCAATGGTTCACAGTAAGACATACCATAGGATTTTGGAGGTGTCATAGTCCCCTCTGTTGTATGCACTACGAGCAAGAGATCGCTGTAAAGTACAAGAAAATAAGCAATCAAAACATGAAGCATACTTGGGAAGTCATTTATATGATGTAACCAAATCACCTTAGCTCGAGCTGATCTATTATTTGAAACTTCCAGGGCTTTCTCATAGTAAGCATCACTATTTGTAACATCACCCAGTGAGCACCTATGAAAGTGAGTAAGATAGCTAGAATCATTGTTGAGAACCCTAACCCCACTTCGCCAACCCCAAAAGATGATACACAAATAAGTTACAGTAATTGGTAAAGAGAGTATAGGATCTCTAAGAACCAATTGACGACAACAAGCCACAAGGTGAGGATGGACAAAAATTGTTCTTGCTTCGGGAGTGTGATTTAGGGATGTGGTTTAGAAGAGATCTTTAGGAAGAGGTGAACACTTGAGAAGTGGCAAACGAGAAGGACAGGATTTAAGACTTGTACCAAGAAAGAACCCAATTTGTTTACTCTACTCTTGGCCCATCTGTAGTGAGTTACTCAAATGAATCTTTTCTCTCTTCTCTAGCAAGGTTAGTGAGGGAAGGGGGCGATTTAGCCTCCTTTCAAGAAGAGGTCAATGGCGGGATTAAGGTGACCAAAATGGTTCACGTTGAGCAAAAGTAAGTAGCAAGTGCAAGGGTAGATGGAGCTTCAAAGCGGTTGCAAGTTTTGGAAATCATGTTTGAGACCGATGCTAATGAGATGTGCTCAAGTGAAATGAATGGAGTTTTCCCTCGATACAAATGTTTTATCTTCCAATTTGAGGCAAAGCGAGAGGGCAATTCTACCTTCCTATCTTTTCCATTTTTCCCAACCTTGTCCCCTACATTCTTTCATTCAATGGCTTCAAGGATGGATTTGTCTATTCCTTTATGTTTGTACTCCCTTTTTGTAGCTTTCCACAGGGCTTATTGAGCACCTTCTAAACCCTCCAAAGGGTTGTGGGCAAGAGAATGTTGCATTTTTTTAATACCTTCAAGTGTCAGCTTTAGTGAAGGGAGTCCTCCTACAGACAATCAAGAGTCGTTGGGTAATTTGAGCCTCTTCTTTAGCCCCGAGAGTGTTCATTTACATTTCACAAGCATTTACGTAGAGAATTGTTAGATTAGGTCTTGAATAGAGTGGGATTGCAAATTGTGCCCAAGGGGAGGCTCAATCTACCTCGGTGAGTAGGAAAGGGTAGCCTAAAGGCAAAGGGAAAAAGAAGAAACTGGAAAGAGAACTAAAGAAACTTGTGTGTAAATTATGAAGGAAAGAAGGTTTTGCGGGTAGTAAGGGATGCCAATGGATCTCAATGACAATTTTGTCTTGGAATGTTAAGGGGCTTAAAGGTAGTTAAAAAGGAGGTTAGTCAAGGAACGGTTGTTGTGGGAGCACCCAAAAACTGCAATTTTGGCGGAGACTAAATGTGAGAGGTATAGTCATCAATTTATTAGAATTTTTTGGTGAGACCGCCATGTGGAGTGCATAAGGTTGGAGTTTTTTGGTGTGTCAGGGGGGCACTTTGGTTAAGTGGGATGTGTACCATTGAAAATCTCTGATGTAGTTTGAGGCCGCCTTTTTACTATTTTGGTAGCTTTAGAGTTTCCTAGCTTGGGAAATGGTTGAGTTACATCAGTGTATATAGTTCTCCCATGAAAGGAAGGAAAGAATGTCGACGCTTGGTTGGGGATTTCAACATGGTTAGGTATCCTTTGGAGATGTCTAGTGGAGTCATGTTACAAGATCCATGCTTCGATTTAATAGATTCATTGAGGATTGTGATCTCATAGATCCTCCATTGGCAAACGACAAGTTTACTTGGTCTGGCTTGAAGGATGAAAAAGTCAAGTGCAGGATGGAATAGGTTTCTCTTTTCTAAGGCTTGGGACGAGTTATTCCCAAATCCTAAACAGACCTTGGGGTCGAGACTTACTTCCACCAGCTTATTTGGGGTTCAAATCCGTTGACAACATGTGGCCGTCCCACCCTCCTTCAAGATTCCTTATCCTCGTGGTGCGATGTCAAGGTGGATGGAAGGTGGGAGGGATTTGCTTTCTTGGGCAGTTGAGAAGTCTTACAGCTTCCGGAAAGGAATGGAATCTTTCAACTTTAGGGGATCTTAGGAGAAAGAAGTTGACGATTGTGGAAAAGTTAAGGATCCAGTCATCAGAAGAGGGGGTTTTGACCAGGGAAAATAAAGAGGAACGGTTATCTATGAAGGGGGAGTTTGAGACCATTCTTATAAGGGAGGATATGAGCTTGGGACAAAAGGCTAAGGTGAATTGTGTGAAGGAGGGTGACAAAAACACCTTCTTTTTTCGGGCTTGTTTTGTTTGTCTTTCATTTATTCAATGAAGATTCAATTTCTTACCCAAAAAAACAACCCGCAAAAGCTATTCTAACCAAAAAATAAATATAATAAACAACTAGAGAGCGAAGACTAGTGAAATAGAATCAACCAAAAAGCCAAGCTCAGAGAAAGATAAGTAAACTTACCAGAGTTTGGGGTCAGTGGGTGTTTGAGAAAGTCGACTCTTGATAAGATCTACAGCCGCTGCTTTCTTCTCTAATAAACTGTTAGTTTAATGAATTATCATGAGATTGTAACTGGGAAAAGAAGAGTAGACACGAGATAGACTATTGAAAATATAATCACCAGACCGGTAACAGAAGATTAGGTTATCCCACAACTCCAACTCCTCAAAAATTTTGACTGCCTCCCCAATCAAACCGCAGCTCACTAAAAGTTCTCCATATTCTCTGAAATTCAAGTCAAGGACCATGAACTAAAGAAGATGTAACAAGTTTGGCATAAACTGGGTACAGAACTTTTTTAAAACCTCACACTTCTTTGGCAATCATGACAAAGAATGGAGTGTATGGTATGGAGCTTTTAATTTAAAAGCTTCAAACTTCTATGATAATCCTGACAAAGAATGGAGGGTAAAAGTCATACTTCCTCAAAGCAGGAAAAGTAGGAACATAAACCCCGCAACAGAAATACATCCTATGAGCCACTCCTGGATAAGAATCATAAATACCCTGAACCTGGAACAATGAAAATTATTGATGAGAGACACCACGGTAAACATAATGAAGATGATCCATCGGACTTCTGGTGTACAACAGAAAGAACATTTACTTTCCTAGAAGTCCACGCCCACCTCAAGGCCCAGACTTAGGAGATATAAAAGTACAGCAGAAAGTACATTATCAGACTCAAAAATTAAGAGGTAAAAAGACAAATGTAAATAATGCCCAGCCCATATTCCCACTTCACCGTCAGGGAACCAAACTTACTTAGCATAAGATAGAAACAAAAGTTCAAGACAGACCACCAAAAAAGTTGAGGTTTTAGCAACAGGTGATTAAATGATAAGAGAAGGTATCTTCGAGGAGACTGATGAAATTGGAGAAAAGATGCACTTCATACCAATTTTTCCATCATCACTAATGCACGCTCCTTTGTACGACTACGAGTCGATTCCCATCGAACTCGCAAGATGTTGCAGAAAAACCTCACCTGAAAATGATTGAAAATTTACATCAAAATTAAATTAAGTAAATGAAAAGGTCAAGTGCAAAATTAGAATAGATCAATCCATTGAAAAATTCTAGACATTTGAAAGGTCAACATTGAAGAATAACAGAAAACGAATGAAACTTTACAAACTTCATGTGCATAAAAATTGAAAGATTACCAAAGTAAAACCAAACATGAATAATTTAAGGCTAAATATATAATTTAGTCCCTTTAAGAACTAACCTGCCATGGGCTGACCAGAACAACTAATCCTATATTTTCTACCAATAATGTAACACACACAAAAAAAAAAAAAAAAAAGATCCATGTTCAGAAAGGCGTGGCTTCACAATTATTTTTTAACTGACATTTCCATTTCTTGACTTCAGAGGTCGAATTTATCGCTGTGGTATTTTGCATTTCCACGAGAAAAAAAAAAGATCCATGTTCAGAAAGGCGTGGCTTCACAATTATTTTTTAACTGACATTTCCATTAAAAATGGAAGATACAAAAAAAGGAGGGGGAAGTGTATCCAAACCCTGTAATTTAGTAAAAAAGAAGATGCCACAAAAAGCTCTCTAATGTATCAAGATCGAGGTTCACAGACATCTTCCATGACAAATGTAGTTAGGTCATGAAATGAGTTTGCTCTTACCATAAAGAATGATGAATGCTGACTATCGATAGCTTCTATATATGGAGCCATATCCCACCCTGTAGAAAATAAATTTTTCTCTTAATATCACAAAAAGAAGAGTTAAAAAACAAGTACTGTCTTTAAGTCGAGATAGCAAGCAACTAGAATGTGGGAAGTGAAATCGGAGTCACTGATTACATAGTTACGACCCGTCACTCATTTATATGATCCCAATCTAATTCAAACTTGAAATCGCTTCTCTTAGAATTAAGACAATGTGGCTCAAATAAAAAAGTTCATTTTTATAGTTCTTATTTAACATTTTTCAAATAAACAAACAAAGTTATATTTTATATATGTTCTAGTTGTTTGGGAATAACTCCAATTCAAAATCTTTTGAGCTAAAATACTTCTTTTATTCCACTTCAAAAAAAAAAAAAAAAAAAGGAAGTCTTTAATAAATACGTGATAGAAAATAATGATCAAAAAAACATTTTCAGATTATTTAGATGATTGATTGGTAATTAACAAAAGTTTACCGCTTAATCATTAGCATGCTACATTACACTCATACAAGCAGCAAGCAAAACACAGATGATAAAGGAATATTTGAATTACACTGTACAATTATAGCACTTATTAGTTTCAATTCACAATCATGGCTGAAATTAAAAATTCAAAGTTGAACTAGTTAGATCCCTTCCAGCAATACAATAATTATAGGGAATTAAGCAGTCATGTGCAGTATACGGTAGTGAAGTTCAGGCAAAACCTTATCCCTAAAAGCTTCCATCATAATAGTGATAGAGAGAATTCATTATCTATTCAAAAGTTCATGTCGATTTTTTTTTTCCCTCATTCATCGTAATTAAGGCTGTAGTGCACTTGATCCATGGGGGTGCAGTTAAAGTCACAACACTTTACTAATGGATATGGGGGAGTACTTAGATCTAGGACATAAATAAATATCAATAACCAACGTTATCATTAACAACATCAGGTCAAGTGAACTCCCAAGCTTCGCCAATTACATAAGCCCCACAAGTTAGGCTGTTTAAAAGAATGCATATTAAGAAGGCTACAAGGCTACTTGTATTTTCTACTCGTATGTTCTTCTCTTATATATAAATAAATAAAATCTAAAAGAACAGAGGTTTGTTAAAGCTTCTTAGAACATTTTTCATGGGAGACAAACTGTTCCATAAGTCTCTTATTCACTGATATTTCAACCAAGAAAGAAACAGAAAGCACACAAAATCCATATAAAACACACTCACTCTGCATCTCATCTGATCGAGAACTCTTCTCAATTAGAAGGCACTTTGCCAAAATGGTTGCCTGCTGGATTGTCTTGAGGTTAGAAACTGCGGAACCACCACTCTGTATTCCATCTGTTTCAGTTCCAGACACGTTACCATTATTTACCAACTTTGGCGCCATCAAAATGTCAGAGGTCTCAGAAGCTTTGGTTTCGGAAGGCAAATTATCCTTATCCATGGAAGAACAATGTGTCTGGTTCTTAAGGTCACTGTCTAATGAGTCTGTATTTGCAACAAGAACCAATTGTGCCTTTGGCTCCACCTACAATAAAAGATATATCTAACTGACCAAAATTTCAAGAAAGCACTAAATTGCACTTTATAAGCTCTCACCTGATATGAAGTACGAAAACCAAGAACACCCGTAACAGAAAGCTGAAGACCAGATTCCGCTTCAGCTGACTCAAAATGCTGCCTGCCAAATAGCTATCTCAGCAAAAATTAAATTGAGCAAAAGAAAATGGCAGGTTGTGACAAAAACATGAAATTTCAGTTTAGTGGTTAGATTACCCTTAAAAAAAATTAATGATTCATACATGGAACAATAATGCGAGTATGAAAAAAAATCAAGATGAGAATACATGGGAATTAATGCACGTAGTTCACTAAGGCTAGATAGTGCATTAGACATTAATGAATAAAATTAAGACGGTTTCTCAGGATATTTTAATTCTTACCCGCATGAATCAACTCTTCCATAATAATACTCCATTATCCCAGCTTCCAAATGAACCATGGAAACAATTGTTGAAGCCTCTCCTTCTCGTAAATTAGTACCCCAATAGCTCTTTACGTTTTCCAAAATGCCAAAATGAAGTAAGGATTCACCCATAAGAACATGCAAATGTTCAAACAAAGAAGAAGACCGCTCATCTAAAATTCTCTGTTGAAGAAACACAACCCTGGCAAGCCACCAAGAAATGCTTTTCATCCCACATACTGAATTTGCATTTTCCTTAAATAGCACATCTTTTATCCTTGTGAGCAGCATCTTTGCAAACACTATATACTACAAGACACGAAGAAACGCTATCTAAAAACAGCAAGCGAAATACTGCAAGCAGATTATGACTGGAAAGTTTAATATGAAATTAACAAACACACACATACGCATGAACATGAATACGTGCATTGCGCGCGCACGTGCATGCTATGTGTATATTGAATGCACGTCAATCCAATATGACATTTCAGAAGTCATTCGGCCGTACCTGAATATTGGTGAATTTACCAAATAAATCGGAGCCGGTGGTCATGAGCTGATGCCTCGCCCAGTTATCCCACTCCGCAAAATCTTCAGTTTTCGACTCTATGACTGCCATGGGAGATCTAGCCAGTCCCTCTAATGGTCTACAAAATTGCATACATAAAATAAAAGCATCAATTAGGAAACAGAGATAAAGATAATGAATTCCCATCATTCTAAATCTCCATGAAGAATAGCCGAAGCCTCTGCTTAAGAAAACATAACAACTTTAAACGCGGGAAATCGTTATTTTGGCTCACCCAGTCACGTTACACTGAGTAAACGCGAGAAACGATGAAATTGCAATACAAATCACGATCATCAATCTATATAATTTATCCTCCTCATTTTCAGATTCACTGAAAATGAAATTCTCAGCGCGCTCAAGCAACTCAGTGTACACCCGCTCAGCGCACTCGGTCGAGTCAGTGAATGGACACTGTGACTGATTGACAAGTCCAAGAACGAGCCGAGCAGCGTCGGAAGCAAGGGTTTTCCCATAGTCGCCAGCTACAATAGAACTCACGAAGGCGTCAAGAGGTTCGTGGAGATGATTGCGTGAAGTTTGGTTATGAGAAGCTACCGGATAGTCCAACGGAGGAGAAGAAAACGTACAGCGGAGGAGACGAAGCTCGAAAGCTCGGAGAATCTCCGGCGCCGATTCCGACATTTTCGTCAGGGTCTGCAGATGTCCGATGTGGAAGATCGATATGGTTTAAACGGTGGCGCCACCGCGCGTAAGAATGGAAAGGGTTTATGGTTTAGGGCATGACTTGGAATTTACCTGTCAAACCCTAGACACACTTTTTCTTTTATTTTATCGAACGGTAAAAAATTAAAATAACGCTGAAAATACTCCAACACACGTGCGGGAAATGTGTGGATGACAGCTTTCGTATAAGCATTATTATTTTTTTTTTCAGATTATTGTATATTTAAAGTAAAATATTAAATTAATGCAGGCAGTCTGTTTTTCTTTTAAGTAAAATATTTTCTTTAGAATATATTATCATTAGTTAATATAAATACTTTTTAACATATAAATAAATACGTCTTAATTATATACTATTTACAAAGTAATTAAAATTAGTATTTGCTAGTCCCTTTATAGAATATTCATTATTCAAATTTGAAATTGATTCTCTTTTTTAAAATTTTGGTATTTTTGAGATTTAAAATATATATATTATTAAATTTTTTCAAAATTTTCATATTTTTAAAATTGGAAGATATTTTTATAAATCTAATATTATTTTTATTATTCCGTCAAAATGGGGTAATCACAAATTAAATTAAAAATTAAAAATAATACAGGTGGAGGAGACAGACAATGAGTGGCTGGAAAAAGGAGGAAGCTTGTTGATGGCTGCGGCTGGCTATGACCACGTGGCGTGACACCTGGATTCCTCGCCGTTTGATTTGATTTACATGTATCGACAATAAATAAATAAAAAAAAGACCCAAATAGAAATACGCCAAAAAGTACCCCAACGCATTTATTTTCTAATAAATTTCATATTACAACTCACCACTTCATTTATTGATATTCTTAATTAATTCATACTTCATTTTCATGTACAAAATATAAACATAATCACATTGCCGTGTAATAATAAATTCAAATTATTAATTTACATTATAATATAAAATAAATCGCAATCTTTCTAAAATAATAATAACGACTATTCTTTACTTAATCGTAAGAATTTATTTACTTTAATAAGAAATAAATTCGCATAATAACTTTGACAAAGTTTTGATACTTTATTATATATGTATGTAATGATTTCATTTAATTCAATTAATGACAGAAACATTAAATTTATGAAATTTGACGTTGATTAATGATTATCTTTATTCTACTAGTGTCCACTCACCAAAACATCAATTAAAAAAATAAAAAAAATGTAAATAATAATAAATAAAATAACGCGTCACTCACAAATTTAGTATTTATAAAATAATATTGAATTTCAAATATTATACTTTTAATTGGATTTCCTTTGCCTTCAATTTAATATTTTATAAATTACATTCTATAACTCAAAGATAATTAGTATATATTCATTATATTAAAATTGAATACTTAAATGTATAATTAATAATATAAATAGTTTTTAATAATTTTAAAATAGAATTTTAATACAATGGTTAAATTAATATACTAATAAAAATTTAGAAATATGCTTCCACAAAAATCGTATTAAATACAGTGGCGCCACGTGGATAAATCGGAATCGTAAAAAATATATATATATTTCGTAAATAAATAAATAAATTAATTAATATAAGTATCTGTATTGTTTTTGCACGACGGAAGGTGTCCGAAGCCCAACCGCCTAAATAAAACGCGGAGCTTTGAGCAATCACGTGAACGCTGCCGAAATTTCGTCCAATTAAAAATTTTAATAAATGATAATAAAGAAATTATATATTAATTTTAATTTTAATTTATAAATACTTATTTTATTTTTTGGGAGTTGATCGTCAGATCTCATATCCCGTTCGAGCAGGTGACGGCAGCCGGACATTTTTGGGCGTTGTCCATCTCGGGATTGCGAGCGAGAAAGAAAGAACGGAGAGCCCCTTTTCGTTCTTCTATTCTGAGCCCACAGCACCACCCAACAACCAAGGGGAGACACAGAAAGAGGTCACGGATAAATTGTATTTTGATCTTTAAATGCGTTTCTCTTTTTGTTCTTTTTTTCTGTTTGTTGATCTGCTTTTCAGCTGATTCTCTGACGCATCTGTATCTATGAACTTCCATTTCCTTCCCCCGACTTTATATGAAGTTTCTTTGTCTTCGTTATTCGCAGGTTTTGTTGTGTTTCTTCTCGCTCTGTTTTTGCTGCTGATTTGGTTGTTTCTTCCGACGGGTGTTTTTGTATTAGATCCCAATTATTTCGATAAATCTTTGAATTGCATTTGTGTTTATAACTTGTTTAGATTTGGATACCGAGTAATTTGGCAATTCTGGTTGGTCTGGTCCGGTGTTATTGTTTCATTACCTTTCCAATAGTTTTTTTTTTTTTTTTTTTTTTTCCTTATCTAATTTCTTAGCTTACTTGGCTGACATTCTGACGAATCTGCATCATTTTGTCATCATTTTATGCATATATTCCCCCGTGTTTTGGTCGGTATCAGATTCCGTTTATATTGTCTTACTCGACGGCTTACATATGCTATTGTGCCTATGTTGTTAAGAATTCGACTTACCATTGACGGCAACGCTTTTTCCTTTGATTGCTGAGTTCTTCCTGAAATTATATCTATATGCAATATCTGTCTTAATATGTTGTATTGATGAAGTTGGTTTGCTCCTTGATGATGACAGGTTGCAGGCTTTGTGTCTCCTCTTAGAAGACAAAGAGAGGCTAGAGAAGTTATAAGCAAATGGGACCAATGGATTATGAAAGTAACAGTTGGATATGGGATGGTGTGTGTTACTACCCACATTTGTTTGGTGGTTTGATGCTCACAGCGGCCTTGCTTGGATTTTCTACGAGTTATTTCAGCGGGATTGGAGTACCATCTTTGCCATTCTTCTGGTCTGATTTTGGTATCTTCCAGAAAAGAAAGAGCGAAAAGAAGCGCATTCGGGTCTACATGGATGGGTGTTTTGATCTCATGCATTTTGGTCACGCCAATGCGTTGAGGCAAGCGAAGGCTTTGGGAGATGAGTTGGTGGTGGGTGTTGTAAGTGATGAAGAAATCATAGCGAATAAGGGTCCACCAGTATTACCAATGGAAGAAAGGTATCCGCTGAAATCTTATTTATGTTCTACCCATCTTCACTCCTTATAGTTTGTAGGTTGTCTTAATCTTCTTAGATATTTATACATTCTATTTTATTTATACTTTTTGTTGTTGGAATTATTTTTAACTTTTCATAACCCACACACCTGAAGTCACAAAATTTAAAATGTTTACAGAACTAAAATTTTACCTCAATAATTTGCTCAGCTTCTTCTAACCGAAGGCTCCTTTTAGGCTGGCTCTCGTTAGTGGTTTGAAGTGGGTGGATGAAGTTATTTCCAACGCCCCATATGCAATTACTGAGCAATTCATGAACAGACTCTTTAATGAGCATAAGATTGACTATATTATTCACGGAGATGATCCATGCCTACTTCCAGATGGGACTGATGCATATGCCTTAGCTAAGAAAGCTGGACGGTTCAAGCAGATCAAGCGTACTGAAGGAGTCTCCAGCACCGATATCGTAGGTACTGTCTTTCAATTTTCTCCAAGCAGTTTTTGGTTGGTGCCACTTTGTCATCCTCTCTTCTCTTGTTTTCCCCATTCATCTCCTTGCTACATATTTTGGTCACTGTCACGAGAAACATAACTTTGTTTTGCATTTTCTTGTATTGCCTTTTTATCCTTGCATTAATCTCTTGATGTAGGAAGAATACTCTCTTCCATTAATGATGCTATGGATTCAGAAGATCACAATGCAACATCCATGAATGGAGATGCTAAAAAAGGAAGTCCGTCCCATGGTGCCCTTTCTCATTTTCTACCAACATCACAACGTATTGTACAGTTTTCAAATGGAAGGGTATGGTTCTCTAGTGACCAAAAGATTCTTGAAGCCTTATACAGGAGGATTGTTTTTCAATAGATACTAATTCACCTATCTTGTCCATACAGTGTTTGTTGTGACAAAAAATGGAACAACACAATCTGTAACCGATGCATCTAATGAAATATTGATATTATATTTAGTTTTGAGGGTTAGATGATAGACCCAGTTATTTAAGTTGGTTATCTCACTTTTGTCTATGAAATGATTTCCGTTTCTTATCAATAGAAGTGTTAGGAGGAAACATGTGAGTAGGGAGAAACTAATATATTGTGCATGTAGCGTGTTGTAATGGTGAGCCCTTAAATGAGTTGGTAACTGATGCGGGAGGGCATCTAGAATTCTTTTGTGACGGGAGAACTTATGCTTTTGCCTGGATTGGGTGGTTGTTAGGAAGAGATAGGGACTCTTTAAATGTCACTTAAGCTGCATTTCTGATAATCTTCTGAAATATAGTAGATTCTATCGTTTAGTTTGCTTGCGGTGGGTCTATTCTAATATTTTTTAGTTACATTAAATTTCTAGTTGGAAATTTATTTTTTTATCTTACATCTATTCATCTATCAAGAACTTGACTGGATAACATGAAAGGGCAATTCCTTGGTAGAAAATATCTTTGGCCTCTATATTATACAGGCTGACATAAAAAGTCTTTGGAAATTTGTTCCTTTCATCCCTCTAGGAATTCATTCTTCTAGCTTCTGTTTGTATCTGGCCTCTGTATTAATCTATGTCCATGTCCCGCGAGCAAACATGATATTCTTCCCCTCTTTGAGTTTTTCTAGCTTAGCCTCCGCTTTGTAGTAAATTCTGTTTTGCGGCCAATCCATTAATGCTAACAAATTATCATATCCAATTTTAGGGGCCTGGACAAAATGCTCGTATTGTGTACATTGATGGGGCTTTTGATCTTTTTCATGCAGGACATATTGAGGTATGACGCTTCACAGTTTTTACAATCTCTTCTCTATTCATCCACCACTCCAGATTGCTTTTATGTTAAACTTAACATTGGTTTGGTTTTTGATATTTTATGCTTACATGTGTCTGTGTGCATAACAATTCTTTGCTTTGAATTTTTTCAATACTCCTCCATTTAAAACAATAGATTTTAGCTGGGGAAGATTATGTCTCTAGGATGCTGATTCCAAAACTGTGCATAAGCTTTAAAAGTTTGACTAGGATTCTTAGACCTTATGATTCAAAGAGGTCACTTCCTTTGTTGGTAAAAGCAAGCCTTCACGATGAACACCTAAACATTGCAGAGGGTAGTAGTGCTAGTAGCTGTGTTACACATAGTGTATGTCCGACAATGGTTAAAAGACAGCAGGATTAGTTTGAGTAAGATCCAACTCGGTAAGTGTGAGTCATTTGGCAGCTACAGATTTAATTATGAGCTTGGATGGGAATGTTATTGACCATGAGCTAATACATTTGCAACATTTTCTTTCTTTTAGAGTGAACAGTGGCAATTAAGTATTCTCTGCATTCTTTTCCACTATTTCAATTCATTTATGTATGAATTTGATTTGTGCTTTACAGGCTACGTAATAATAACTGAATAATTTCTCAGGAATAACCCCATTTTGTGATCGCATCATCCTCCTTCTTTTCAGATTCTCAAGAGTGCTAGGCAGCTTGGAGACTTTTTACTAGTTGGCATACATAATGATCAGACTGTGAGGTATCTTATTTTCTTTTCCTTCTCAATATTTGACTTGTTTGTACTTTTTCAATCAACTTTTTGGCTTGTTTCTCTCATCCGGAAGTTTTGAATACCTTTCCTGAGACTATGGCTATGGACTTTTCCCTTAGATTTTAATGAGCTAGCAAAGTAGAAGTTAATATCTCATTATCTCCTGCAGTAAACTCAGAGGGAAGCAATTTCCAATTATGCATTTGCACGAACGTAGTCTCAGTGTGCTGGGTTGCCGGTATGTCGATGAGGTGATCATCGGTGCACCTTGGGAAATTACAAAAGACATGGTAAGTTGTGTGCTCCTGTTTTGGTTTTTCCTTAAACATTATACCCATTCATCCACATTGCTTGTTGGAAGCCCCTTTTTCCCTGATGGGTGAGAAGCAAAGAAATGGATAGAATTTAGACTCTTATGTCTGCATCCAATGATTGCTTATGAGAGTCGCTCTCTTTGATCATCAACTGTGAGGTTCTAATTACTGAAGCATTCTTTTTCTGGCAGATAACTACTTTCAATATATCTTTAGTTGTGCATGGGACTGTTGCTGAAAATAACTCTTTTGCTGTAAGTTTAGCTATTTCACTGTAGATGAGATTTTTTTTTTTTTTTTTTTTTTTTTTTAAATTTTAAATTTAGCCTCTTTAACTTTCTTATTTACAAAATCATGACAAGATGAGCTCGTCTGTTTCAGGGCGACAGTGATCCGTATGCCGTTCCAAAGAGTATTGGAATTTTCAAGTTGCTTGAAAGCCCTAAAAACATTACCACTACTTCAATAGCCAAAAGGATAGTTGCCAATCACGATGCTTTTAAGGTACTCACTCTTATGCTCTTATTTCTTGAGCCTAAACTCCAGAAAAGTAATCTGCTTTGTATTTTTATAGAAATTTGAATGTGTTATTAGCTATCAATATAGACTAGATTTTCAAAACTGAATTACCGAACTTTCATTCAGAAGAAGTGAAAGAATCCAAATAATAACAAAAGAACTTCGCCACTTAAGCCCACAAAGTGATGTTGTACTTAATAAAGGTCCAAACATCAACCTCAGACCTCTCAAATCCTCTAAAGACCTCATCATTAAAGAATAATTTTAGAAGTCAAATTGGCAACGCCTTTATATTAACCAGATACTTGGGAATTCCTGTTTCTGCCTTTTAGACGTTATACTCTGACTAATGCCTAATCTAATGAATTTGTTGGACTTTTCATTTCTTGTGTATTTACAATATGCAGAAACGAAATGCCAAGAAAGTGGAAAGCGAGAAGAAATACTATGCAGAGAAGAAATACATATGTGGGGAATAAATGGTTTTGGTTTACAATTTACTATTCGGCCTTAGGAATGTGGTTGTTGTAGCTCTTGTTTCTGAAGATCTTCGGTACAGATTTTTCCCATGAAGATAGGTTTAGAACATGGAAGGAGTTGCATCCTTAAGAATTTGACATGGCAGTTAACTTTGTAATTTCACTGTAGGCGCTATAAGCTGCAGCTAGAATAGATCAAAATTGGGACACCAAAACTCTCAACTACACAAACAATTTGCTATTATGCGTGTAAACGTCCAAATCGTATAGGTACCATCTTGTGCCTTTATTGGCTTTGTTTTTTCTTTTCTTTTATTTTTTCAGGTAATTTAGGTGTTGGTTGTATTGTTCTGAAAGAAAGCAGTAAAAGCAATATTTATTATATTATTTGATTGCTATGGAATTAGTATTCATTTTCCCCAACTCCTGTACTTTTGATTCATATTAGTTTTCTATCGTGGGTAAGTGAAAGTAAAATTCATCCTTTGTTTTTTCCTTTCTATTCACTCGGGATTTCTTCCGTTAATCGATTTTGTCCAGATCCCGATTTTGTCCAGATCCTCCTTTTCTTCTGAAAAAAGGGAGTCCGGATCTTCTTTTCTTCCGAAAAAATGGAAGAAATATCTTCTTCGATGGATCCCTCTTGTTCCTATTTAGTCTCTTCCGTTTTAGTTTCTTAATAAGAATGGGTGACGATATTCTACCTAATAATAAACTCAGGTAATCTCGACATTTATCACCATACCTTTGAAAAATAGCTGTGTCAAACCTATCTTAGTAATTCATTTTCGTGCCTAATAGCATCTTCAACTCTCAATTTTGGTCTCATAAATTTAAAAAAATGTTAAATAAATTAGTGAATTATTATTAAAGTTCAATTACTTCAACAGGCACAAAATTAAAAGTTAAAAAAAAAAAGTAGTGTTATCCATCATGATCTCATCAAAATTTGGATACCATACTCATAGATCAAGTAGAATAACTCTAATTCATTAGATTCCAGTCAAGAAGTTCTGGAAGGTGGGGAAAAAATTTGTACATGAGCTCATAATTCTCAACTAGGCAACTCATATGCGTGCAGAAGCATCATCACTTCCCAAGAAAAAGCTGCCACATGGTGATGAACAATAGAGCGAAGGCATTATATTTATACCCATATGTTCTTCAAGTCAAATTTGCTGCAAATTATCCTATTATCTAGCACCCCATGAGATCAAAAGATAGTAAATTTTCCCTATGTATATACCATACCATCATCGAAACCATGTTATGGGGGAGGACGTTTGTTGTGGCAGCTGCGGAATCATGCAGGGATGTTGGCGCCATTGATGAATGGCGTTAGCTCCATCCATTCCTCCATAGCCATAAGGGTGTTGTTGACTGCTTAAGTTGTCATCTTCAATGTCCATTGTCGCTTCTCCAACTTCTTCAGCTTCCATCAACTGAGGAGCCTCCTCTTGTTGGACATGCATGTTCGTCGAAGCAGGAACCTGCAGCCGCGGAACCCAAGGAACAACAGCAAGATTTTTGTTCTCCGTCCCCATTTCGTCGTCGTCCTCACCAAATTTCAGCCGCCCAACATAACGGTTTTCACGAAGAATATCGCCTGATAATTGTCAGTTACACAGAGATCAGAATCAATCTAAACAGTCCATTTTGAGATACCAACAACAGGAACTAAACGATTAGTGTTTCTCAGCAACAATGGTTAAACCCTAGACCTTTTCTTCGTTTTCAGCAGTTATTCATTCCTCAATCCAATATCTAAGTAGTTTAAAGGTAGAATTCAAAGATCGAAACGGAAGTGAGAAAAATCCGGAGAAACTATGTTGAAATCGGTACTTACTCTTGAAGCCAGATATAATGTCGGAATCAACAGAGACTGAAAGAGGATCAGACTGCAAGAAAGACGTGTTAACAGGCTTAAACAGAACAATAGCCCTCTCTTGGTTATCGCAGAGAGGGCGATCTTCCATAGCACAAGCTGAAGCAGCAGCAACAGAAGAAGCGTCCGGCAATTCCTCAATCCTCACACCACTCCCTCCTGCTACATAATTTACAGGCACCATTCGTTCTTCGTTTAAACCAGCAATTTCCGGCGGTTCTTCTTCTATAATAGGCGGTAAGCCAACATCCTAGAAAATCGAAGAAAAATTCTCAGAACAAAGTTTCACAAACTCCATTTAAAGAAACAACAACACGAAAGCAAAGAGTAGGAAGAAGTACCAGACGGCGAATCTTCCAGGCAGGCGACGAGAGGGAGAAATCCGAGAACTCATCGTTAAATTGATCGAGATCTTTTCTCTTCATCTTCATCTCCGATCAAAGAACAAAAAGAAAACTCCTCTCCCAAATTTCAATAGTAAATACTCCACGGAACTTCCTTTTCCCACCTCAGAAAACAGAACCCGCGCTTAAAAATCTGATTCCCTTCCCACAAACTTCAATGAAGAAGAGTATACGGATCGGAAGGGTTTTATAAAGAAGAGACGGAAATACAGAGAGAATTGTTGAAGAAGAAGCCACGCTAAGAGAGAGGAGAAAGGGCTTCTGTTTTCTGGCAATCTCTAGAGACCTCTGGAAGGCCCCACTGACGGAGAAGATGAACCCCAATTCGCATTTTATATAATAATAATTATAATAATAATAATTGTCTGTTTTTTTAAATTTCGTACATTTTAAAAACAATAATAATAATTAAAAAAAAATAACTCCCCATTTTTTTTTTTTTTTTGTAAATATTAAATTACAAATTTAGTCGTTTAAATTTAATTTTTTTGTTTTGAAATTAAAATTTTATCTAAAATCTTATTAATAATTTCTATAGTTTTATAAAATTCGTATGTCACATTAATCATTGCTACAAAGATTTAGTATGAAAAAATAATTTAAATAATACTTAAAACTTTTTATCAAATATTTTAAATTTAATATAGTTTTAAAACATTCATATAAAAGTACAAGAATATTTTATTTGTAATTTTAAAATCATTTGCCAAGTGCTGCGATTTAGGGAGAGAATATGAGCCAAAATATCCTAAAAGTATATAATAATAATAACTATATATATATATATATATATATATATATATATATTAAAATTTAGTAGTACAAAGATACCAAAATAATATTTAATACTACTTTTTAAAATAAACCAACTAAATTAAAAGGGTGAGCCAATCGCCTTAAATTAAGAATTATTGTGAAATTGAAACCAACTCTTTTCTAGAGAACTTTTTCTCCTTCCAATAAATGTGCAAAAAAAAAAAAAAAAAAAAGAAAAAAAAAAAGAGCACTGTATAGCCGACAACAGCCCTGACTGAAGTCTGAACATACAAATAATAATAATAATGATTTGTACAAAATTACTCAAAATTTCATTGGTAGCTTTGTAAGTTTTTACTGAGTTCCAGTCCCAACCGTGTTTTTATTCAAAGATGAAGGTCATGTGAGGAAATGAATATCACAGGCATCCATCTCTATCCCACTGTGTATGTATATGTAAAATATTCACATGCACATATCAGAGGAAGAATTATTGAAAGGGACATGTGATATGAAGATTATCAGGTTGATGCATGTTTTTCTGGAAAGAGGAGAAGAATGATGGACGAATAACTAAGCATGGGGTAAAGATTTGCGTCGAGGAAGTGAGCGTACTGTTGAATTGCTACATCTCTTTCTTCAAGGTCGCTTGTGAGGAAGTCGAATGGTGAAATCTTACCTGTGTCCACCAATGGTTCCCATCGATATCCAAGTCTCTCGGGCAATGTCACGGTGACAGGTAAATGACTAGCATTGAAGGCTATGTAAATTTCTCGTTTCACTGAATCGACCTGGGTACAAATCATCTCAATATCAGAATCTACCTGAGTGTACGACTGATATGATTCCAACAGGTTGAAAAGCAATATGTTATATGTTAAGATACCGACCTAAAACAAATTTAAGATTAAGAAGTATCTAATAGATTCTTGAACTATCAATTTTGAGTCTAAAAAGTGTTTAACATATTCAACCTTTTTTAAAATTAACAGGTCTACTAAACATATATTGAATCATGCAATCACAGGGACCTAACTTTTTATTTGTGTTCCATAGATTTATCAATTTTAATAAAATATTGAGTAACTAAATAATTATTAGACACAAACTTGAAAGCTTAAAGGGCTCATGAGACACAAAATCGAAAGCTTAAGAATTTATTAGACATCCTCTAAAGTTAAGGAACTTATCAAACACAAAATTGAAAGTCGAAAGCTTAAAAACTTATTAGACATCCTCTAAAGTTTAGGAATCTATCAAACACAAAATTGAAAGTTTACGGACCTATTTAATACAAATTTGAAATTTCAAACCTATTAGACGCAACTTTAAATTTAGAGTTTAAACGTGTAATTTGATCTACATAACTTTGCAACATGCCAGATTGGAAAAGAGAAGAATGGATGGATTGCATGATCAAGTACTATTTGGAAAAGGAAACATACCAGAGTAAAGGCGACAAAACGGCTTGCTTCAGACCAGTCGGGGTTTCCAGGAGAATGGCCATGCCATTGTAGTCTCTGAGCTGTGGGGAAATCATTTAAGCCCAGTGACTCGCATTCGCTGCAAGGTCATACAGAAAAAGTAATTCATAACACCGTACTACACGAAAGAATTCAATTCAGAAAAGGAGGCACTTACTAGCGGAATGTGGTCATAAGTCTGCAAAACCTATGGAAGTCAGAGGATGACTCTTCCATCTTATCCCAGAGGAAATAATTGATCTGCAGCAAAGTTAGCAGCTCTGATCAACATAATTGAATTTCAGCTCAACAATAAAGGTCAGAAACTAGCGAGCAAGGACCTACATAGTTATCATGGCAATACGTGTTGTTGTTCCCCCCCTTTGTGTGGCCATATTCATCACCCATATATATCATTGGGACGCCCTGGTCAGGTAAAAACAGTTGGAACAAAGCTTAAACACTAATTTTGCAAGAATTAAATCGACAAATTGGAGAGGGATATTCTATTATTCATGTTTTTAGACTTCTTATTATAGTGGAGAGAAACTATGATCAAATAAATGTTGCAACTGGAGAAATATACTATAATGAGGGCTGTGTATACATGCTATGTATATGTAATCATACCGTATTATAAGAATGTGCTCTCAGAGGAGATGTTTGCAGTCACCCACACAAGTAAACCAGGATTTAGAGTTACAATACATCGAGGGAGAATAATCTTGTTCAGAATTGAATTACTATTTTTTCTTATTGGAGCACACAAACCCAACATTTTTATTTCCGTCGCAAATTAAAATGCATGGCAGTGATGTCAAGTTATCAAATCGTAGTAGGTGCTGTTCATTTTGGGGGAATCTTTGGATGCCCACCTTCAGATATCCAAATTCTCATGTTCTTTCTGTCAATGGTTCTGAATGTTATTGCTGGTGAGAATTGTCTTTCCCTGCAAGTTATGTATATGCGTATTGTGTATGTTTTTCATTTGGTTGTGCTAGAGGATAGCCAACTAACTTCTAGCGACACTTCACCTTACAGAATTGACCCACATATAGGCACCCATGTTGGTTCAACTTTGGTGTCAGTACCCTTCATGTTCAGCCATAATGTTTTTCATGAGATACTGTGTTTGGATAGACTTAGTACCACTAAGGAGTCACTAACTAATCTCTAGTGACGCTTGGTGTATCAAGACTGGCCATCATAGACATAGTTGGTTCAACTTTGGGGTTACTCCTCTTCACGTTCAGCATAGGCACCCTAGTTGATTCAGTTTAGGATTGGTTAATTGCTCACCTAGACAGAATCTTTCCATATTTTCAGTTAAGACCCTTATGCATCAAACCATGTCAGTGCAAACCAGTTGGACATGATGATTCTATGATTCAGTTAATGTCTCATTGGTATCAAGATACATTTATGTATAACTGGTCAAGATCCTGCATGTTTTCAATATCACGAGCTTTAAGTACGAATATAGCTTGAAACCCTCAAAAGTGGGGCTATTTACTGGTACTTTTATATTCACCCATGCTACCTTTATTTTCATTCCAGATGGTACATGACTTACGAGGCGTATGGTAAGGGCATTCAATCTGGCAAGCCTATGGAGACATTGTCGGATAGGTCCTAGGATTTTAGAATTACCCATTCATGTTTTGTGCTCTATTATTTTATTCCTTGTTTTTTAGTTTTTTAAAAGTTCTTTATTCATTGAGTTAGATCCGGAACTCAAGGTTTCTATGAAATCTTTTACTTTGGCTTACCTAGACTTCTGCTTTACCTTTCAAAAGTTCATATTTTGCATGCATGTAGTAGCAACCTCAAAAATCAAGTTTAAGAAGTCGGGTCGTTATAGTTTAATCAGCCTAAAGAATTAACATATCATATATTAAATCAGTGAATCTTACTTGGGAAACCATGAGGCAGACAAAGAAGTTTCGCATCTGTCTTTTCCTCAATTTCTTTACAGAGATGCTAACAAACTCTCCCTCCTGTATAATATGAGAAACAAGCACATTAAAAAGGGAGGGGGGAAATCACATTAAAAAAATGTGATACTAATAGTAAACAAAACCCAAAAAAAAAAAAAACAAATCGAATATCGGTATGAATGTCTCCAAAATGGTGCAAAAAGCTCTCTGGAGACACCCGTATAGAAAGACTAATGCTCATTCTATTAAATAAAATCTTAGCAGCCTCTAATACTTATTTCAACTCATTGAACATTAAATATAGACTTTCAGGCAACTAATACTCCTACTGTCTCATGAAAATTTGATGCAAATATCTTTTCAGGGAAAACATACTTTGATGGTTCTTATTCTCTAGATCACATCCTTGGAGAACCACAGTAAGATTCAGTAAATTTAGAAGTATTCACGGCGAACTCTAATTATCACCCTCACATTTCTCCTGTCCTTCCCTCTGGCTCTTTTTTTTTTTTTTGGATAAAAGAAAATCAAACATTTCAATGAAAACAAAGCATATACAAGATAGGGTCTGCGGTTAGGATACCCTCCTCACAGAGGGTGGTTCTAATCTTTCATCCTCCTTAAAAGAAATAAAATATATTTGTTTAGATTGATAAAGTTACAGCAGAACAGGTTTTAGCTTTTCATGGATCCATGGATGTCATCCATTTTGTTTCTTTTCGAGTATTCCTAATCTTGTTGTAGGTCTCGACGGTGGCATCATTCACGAACTTAATGTGTACTGAAAAAACATTCAGAAGGATGGCAAGGCATGGCTGGAAGGTAGGGATAGTAGCTGAAGAGAGGTGAAGAGTGAGAAGGGGAAGAGAGGCACGGTATGATGGTGGTAACTTCTCATAAATTCAATGAAAAAGTTACTTCATATCTCTTGGAGAGGAATCCAACAAGATTTTGAAGCCATCGGTGGAATTGAGCTTTCACCATTGAACTAAGCTCTTGTGTAGCATCGGGGAAATGAAAAAAGACATTAATGAGGTTTTCGGTCTGTCTTTGGGACGCACAAATAGCTAATGTATGCCTAGTTTCAAAACTGAAGAACAAACATGGTGATTAATCCTAGATTCTTTTCTTTCGTTTATTTCAAAGGACTTGCAAAGTTTCTTTGATCCTCTGTTAAAATCATAATGCTCCCCATCTACTTATATTTGTCTTTCAAGAGCTGGAAAATGCTTGAAATGAAAGAGAAGTACCGCCTAATGTTCGTTGTTAATAGGTCCAATTATCTTATCTTACATACCAAATCAATGACGATTTTACAAGATGCCTACAACCGATTGCATACCTGTCCACAGTTCCAGCTATTATTATGGTTTTCACCGTCATTGTTGTCTTCACCATTTGCTAAGTTATGTTTACTATTGTACGTCACTAAATCAGCCAAAGTGAAACCGTCGTGTGCACAAATAAAGTTGATACTATTCCACGGTTTCCTTCCTCCTCCCTGTAAAAGAATTGTTAGATACTTGACTCAATATGCAAAAAGAAGTCATTGTTCGATATTCTATTCAACATGCAAATACCCTATACAAAAACATAGTACGTAATAATTCATGCAATTAAACCAGGCAGTATGCCACATCATTGCAATGCACAGCTCACAAAGCTTTTACTCGTTCAAAGCCCTGCTCCCTAGCAATGTACTCATCATGCTGGTTTCTAATATTCATGCCCCACAGGAAGCACCAAAGCAATTCTCTGTTATGATGGCGCTATGAATGAGCAGTGCTTCTTTGCTTGATACTTCAAAACATTGACTCTCTTCTATCATTCTAGAAAATACATCCAAAGCTATTATACATTTCTGTTATCCTTTCCACAAAAAGTTGACAGGCCGGACTAAACTATCAGTATAAAAGTAACATTATATGACAAAAGAGAAGGAAGAGAAACTCTACACCTGGTAAAGATTAGGACTCCCGCAAAGGCATTCAGCAAAAGCTCCAGAAAATCCATCTGTGCCTTTGATGAACTGCCGTACAATGTCTCGGTACTGAAATTGACAAAAAAAAAAAAAAAAAAAAAAAAAAAAAAAAAAAAAAAAAAAAAAAAAAAAAAAAAAAAAAAAAAAAAA